ACATGGCTAAAGCTGTCCAAGGTCACAGGAGATTTGAAGGGTTTCGGAAAACCATCAGCCCTGACAGGTATAGAGCAGAGATAAACAAATCCATAGCTGGGAATTTTTCTTAACAAAGTAAAAAATATGGCAGAAAAAGACTCAATGCATAAGCGAGAATCCTAAAATAACTTAATGTTTTTCATTGAGTAATTACTCTGTACTAGTAGTTGATACTAGTACAGAGTAAAGCTATTTCACGCAGGTATGGTAGGAGGATTGAAATCCTAAATGGAAAAATGAATTGGAAAAGAGTTTCTGTCTCAATCTAAGGGACGTTTATCATCTATTTTCAGGACAAATTTAGTGGATTTGATAGACCGATTGGACGCAGGAGCATTAAGCTGGGAAGAGTATTCTTACAAAGTTATGGAATTACATAAAGAGAGAATGGGGTCACCATATCCCAGATGTCCTGGGAAGTCCTCGAAACTGGAGGAGAACTTCTATGCCAATCCTTATCCAGGTTGCATCTGCCGCAAGTCTGATGGCAAGAAGCATAGCTCAAAGAAAGAATGTCGAGGCTGAAATCTCATGGTCACACACAGGGAAAGGCCATGGTTTGGGTTCACTTGTCACAGGCATGCTTTAGCAGCTACTAATGAATGCAGGGCACTAGAGAAATTGTAGTAGATGAGATCGCTTCTGTTTAAAGAACATCTCATACAGTGGTAACTACCCCCCCATTTTTTACCTTGGAGTCCACTTACAGTGGTAACTACTTGAGTCTGGATATTAAAGCAAATACTAACAGTAATAGGAATGCGATCCAATTTTTCATCGGTGATTTCTTATTTTTCTTTCTTCTATGTGAATGTACAATATAATTATGATACAAAAGCCAATCCCGTCAACTATACCAATCAAGAAAGAGAATTGAAAATGTTAGCACAAATAGAAAGAGCAGAAGGAAGGTTCTACTGCTGCTATTCCGCTGAATTGCGTGGGCAAGTTCTTTATTACCAAGCTCGACGTTCTTTGTAGCTTCAACAGCCTAATTTGTAGTTCATTAAAAAGAAAGAAAATAGGAAGTTCAGTACCTAACAGTACCGAGAATAGTGCTCAACTGAATTTCATTCTGGAAATGTTAAAAAGGAAGGTGCAAGTGCAATTAGCCGTTGAGATTTGAGGGATAATGTGAAAGACAATAAACCGAGGTAGAAATGCTGACCTGTTCATAAAGAAATTCGATTTGTTGTGCTTGCTGCAAAACATGTGTAGACATTAGGTGATTTAAAGCAGACATCTCTACCATCTTAGTTTCTGCTTCCTGGACTGCATCAAGAAGACTGGTCAACTCAACCTACAAATTTGGAAGAAAACAACTGATCAGTTCTCAAATTTTACCCATCAAGAATCAAGCTTGGTTCAATTAACAGATGATAGAACTCTCATCAAATTTTGTTTCCCCCCTCCATATTTTGATTACCTGAAGTGCACGAGTTTCATCATCCAACAGTTGCTGTTGGGCTCGGACAGGTTGATGCTCAAAATTATCAGGTTCCCTCAGCTCCATATTATTATAGTTGGGGGCATTTGCAGAACGTGGTTTATTTACTTGGTTGGGTTTTCTTCTTGGTACTGCTTTGTTTATTATATCTTGAAACCGAATGGCTCTTAGCTTATCAAATTGTGATGTTACTGAATGGAGTTTCTCACTCAAAATTAGAACCTGCACTTAGAAGAAAACTTCAAATGCAAGACTGGAACAACTACTTTTGGTGGGACTGTGGGAAGGAGATTCTCATAAAAAAGTACAGAACGCATTACCTTTTAAAAAACATAAGTATGGAAAATATTTCACTAAAAGAATGTCTCACTGTCCGGGAAAGATGAAAACTGACAATGTTTATAAAGAGATAGACAATACGACCAACAATCAAGCAGAAGAATGGGAGCAGTCGAGATGTAATGGGGTAAACAGTTTTGAATTGTTTTGAACTGCGGACAGGGCAACAACATTCGACGACTCACTTTTTCTTCCTTGGGGAAGGGAAAATAGTTTGGAGAAGTGTGCACGCTAGCACATGTAAAATAATCAAGTGATAAATATGAACAGAAAGAAAAAAAACAACACTCACCACCCCATGTTTGTGTGCAATAGTATCGGCATTAGCATCATCAGTCCTAGCACCAAGCCAGCTCTTTGAGTGTGCATCATCCTCATTAATGTTGTTTTTTAGGATATCGATTTGTTCTTGGCATGCTTTGATGAATGCAGTTACCTGCATATAGTTATAAGATACATATTTGGCATTACATTATGAAAATACAAATATGCAATAGTAGATCCCAAAAAAACTCAATAAAGTTCATACTAAGCTTTGAGATCACAATGTGCCACGTAAAAAAATCTTTTATAAAAAAAAATGCTAACCAATAATAGCAGAAGTGTCTGTGTGAAGAAAAACCGGGAAGAAAAAATAGTTAAGCATTCAACTTCATGAATATCAGACCAAATAAATTATGGCTTAGCATATCAACAAAATAACGTATGGCCATGATTAAAATAAACTCACTCTCACTTCGAGAAGTTCTTTGAGCCCAAAGTTTTATCAAGCAATCTTATTATTCTGTTATTGTTCTTAGTGATCTCCCAAGTAGTTGTATGGCTCACCTCATGTTCAATATTGTCTCTCTCTTGATCTGTTGTGCGATACATATCTACGTAGTCTTTTTGATGCTTCAACATAAACTCTTCAAGAGCACCAATGCTCTCAAGCTGATTCAGGACAAGTAAAGGAGTCAAACATGATAGTTGCTCTTTTCACACATTTGGAAGTTGTAATTCATGAAACATGTCGTTGAAAGAAGCCCATTTAATAAGCTGTGACTAAGTTCTCAAGAAAAGGGAAAAAAAAAAAAGAAGAAAAAAGAATACCAAAACACTTCAATATTGATAATTCTACCGTTTTTAGGGCAGCTTTGATGAAAGGCGACCTTTGCCGAGGTTTCTGAATGATGAATGACGCCATAATAGCCGCCAACTTGGACTGCAAAGACATGGTACTTAACATAAGGATGTTTCGGGAGAAACACTAAAACATTCGTAATTGGTGTAGTCTGATCACTTGCTAGAAAGAAAACGAGCACATCTTTCCCTAGAAATATAGTCCAAATTTCCCATCAACAAACAACTATATACTGCAAGAAAAGCATACACACCTCGTTATACCCTGAAGAAGTAGCACAATGCCGGACAGCATCTTTAAAATCTTCAGTCCTATCCCTGAACTTCACCATTCCCTTCTCAACGAGGCTGAAAACATATTAACAAGTTAAACGACCATAAATGACTGAATGAACTACGGAATATAAAAGACATTTGTGAGAACAGCCAAACGAAAGAACAAAGTAAACACCTTACTCTGCACCCACCTCAATTATGCACGAAGCCGTAATGAAAATAGGTTATTTATCCCCAATCTTCCCACACAGAAGATCGCTCTAGAATCAATCTTAGAAGTCAAAATTCTAGACAAAGCAGAAGACGGAAGATCATCAGACAAAATTCAAAATATTAGTAGAAAAAACACTAAATCAATTCCCTTTCAAGCCTAAGGCGTCAAAATTTTACTCAGCGAAAAGCGATTACGTAAAGAATGTAAAGATGTCTACAAAATGGAAAGCTGAAAACAAAAGCAGAAACATAATTATATACTAGAGCATTGAATAGATTCCAACATCGAATTCTGCCACATTGATCCACTGAACTGAAACGCAGAATCAATAACATGTATTAGCCAAAGGATCACTGGAACTTACATTGTTGGTATCGACGGAGGCAAAATGGTAGAAAAAGAAATGCGAATTTCAAGTCCAATAGGAGACTGAAAAATGAAATTGCTTATTCACGATCCGAGAGTTTATTCTTGGGGCGAAGTGAGGAAGGAAATCCAGCTGCTCTCGGATCGTGGAATAGAAAGGGGGAAGAAGTCGATTGATTCTTCTCAAGAACTCTGAAACGGAGCTGCTCGAGTTTATTAGAAAAGTGGATAACCGGATCGGTTGTCGTGGTTTAAATATTGTACGGACAAACCGAACCATTTTGTGTAACTAACATAGAGCAAAACCGATTTGGTTCGGTTCGGTTCGCTTGGAATACTCGAGTCTTCGTGTGTTATTTGTAAAATAATTTATTACTATATTTTAAATTAAAACCACTGAATGTATGGTGCGAATCATCTGATTTTTAAGATTTGAATAAATGAAAAGAAAGCATTTTGTGATGCAATTGTAACAGGTTGTGCGGGTCATTCTCGGGTTCACTCTGCGATCTGTAGCGGCTTCACAACCGGCCATTTCCAACTCCTCCGCTCTCTCCGATCAGGTACCGGCAGCCTTATAAATCTTAGTCACGTTTCTCCTTCACGCATCTTAGATTTTGATTCTTTCGCCTCCTTGGGATTTAGGTTTCAGATCTATGCTTCTTCATCGCTTCATCGATTATTGGGCGCACGATTGCTTGTTTGAATTTCATTTTCTTTAATCGATTACAGCAACATGTAATTGTTATAATATCGAATTACATGGTTGTATGGTTACAATTTGTGGAGATTAATTTCAGAGTTTGGAATTCTGTATCTTTTGGAGGACTGTTCCCTGAGTTTTTGAAAGAAAATTAGGCGAAATTGTTGAAAATCTCAAGTTTTGGGGTGGGAGAATAGTTACTGTTTACTCCCTCTTTGTTTCTTTTTTTTGAAAGTTTGGTGATCAGATGGTTACATAGCCACTGCATTTTGGCTATAATCATCAAACTGATGTTTCCTTTAGTTCATCCCCCATTTTAAGATCATTAGATATTATCATCATCTTTGGAAATGAGTGAATCCAATTCCTGTGTTGCCCAGGCTTCTTAATCCATCATTCTGTTGTTTGCATCATCTGCTATCTTGTAATTTCGAGTAGAGTGACTGAAAAGTATTTAAGATTATTTGGTACGTTATGTTTTTGTTGAGCAGGTTCTTTGCAACACAGATAATAAATGGGATTGTGGACACTTCTAGAAGGCTGCCTGCTACTCGCCAATGCTCTAGCGATTCTAAACGAAGATCGGTTTCTTGCTCCTAGAGGATGGAGCTTCTCAGACTTCTCAGGCGGCAGAACCAAGTCATTCAGGGGGCAGCTTATAGGGCTTATCTATGCAACACAATATTTAAGAGTTCCTCTCATGATGCTCAATGTCATCTGCATCTTTGTCAAATTGGTATCAGGATGATAACTACCGTTAAGGCAGGTTTGCACTTCCTTCCATTTTGAGAAAGTATTTCCGGTGTATTGTTCTTGGTTTAGTATGGCCTTTGTTGATTTGAATGTAACGAACAATAGGCTGCTATGAGATAACTATAACATCTGAGAGTTAGAAACATGCATTTTCATAGCTGTGCCTTCTTTCCATTGTCTATTCTTTGTTGAAATGCTTTTGTCTTTTCCCCATTTGTGTGATTGTTTTTCTTCCCTCCTTTTTAAACATCATTTCTCGGTTTCTAAACCAAAGGAGAATCAAATTATTTTTGTAAAACGGTAAAAGACTTTTCGAAAATCGCCTGTTGCTGTTGTTGGTCCGGACATGGGACTTTTTGGGTGTCAAAATGCTTCTCCTCTTAGTAAATTTAAAGAAAGAAATTGACTTTACTAGCAACATTATGAACAATCAGGTAAATAGCTCGACAGATAGGGAGAGAGGCGCTGAAATCGTTCGTTCCTATTGGGTCGTGTATGGCAGCTGGTAGAGATGAATAAAGGCAGGCCGGTTCAATGAGACCCATTCTCTTAATAGGCAGCAAAGCATAATAGGAAAGGGGCCGAGTGATGAATGCCTTTTTAGCCTTTTTCTAAAGACTCTAATGTGAAGCTATCATGGCTCGCTACATACAAGTATAGCCATGAATCCCTTCTTACTTCATGTTGGCGTTATCTTCTCTTACGAAATATTACAAATGCATTAGATAAAATGGAGTCATTTAGAAGTATTAACAAACCGTTAGAATAAACAACTTTTCAATGTGTAATGGTTCAAGTCTATCGCATGAAAATATTGTCCACTTTGGCCTATTGCCGTCAACCTCACGGTTTTTAAAACACGAAGAGGTATTCACAGGAATGTTTCGTTCCCATCTCGAACCGATGTGGAATCTCACACAACTATGTTAATATTTGAATGTCTTTACATTTTCAACTAGGATTTAACTCATAGTAAATGAAAGAACACATCCAATTATGAAATGGTTTCAATAAGAATGCACAGATCATTTGGTTAAGCGAAAAAAATGCCCACAAGACCTCAATCAATTTCATCTAAATACACCATAAAAGAAGTATCCAAATGACAAACATGATGCATTACAACATAATTTCTCTAAAACAAAGAACAACCAACCAAGTTCTAATCCCCATCTGTGTCCAATTCTTTGACAAATTTGCAACTTTTCGGATGACTGCAGGCACTTCCTATGAACTGAAGAACGATCTCCAAAACCTTCATCCTCTTACGCTATCATCTTTCGATCCCTCCACCTCTACAACTAAACTAACCTTTTCGTACTGAAAATCCACCGATTGAGGTTCGGCAACAAAAATGGCATTTCTACTGCCCGCAATTGCCCACACGAACAGCACCAAAAACGCCATTAACGCACCGCAACCAGTTGCAAAGATCAGCCCCGCAAAGATTGCAAGCGGCCGAAGATGATTCTTCTGCGAACCCTCCTCATCTTGTTTTAAGGAAGGCCGGCGTGGATCAACCGGCATCGAATGCATCCATTTGGGGACATTTCTAAGACCAAACCGCCATGAAAATACTCTGCTCCCCTCAGATGACTTGCTATTCCCCGAGCTTATCCCACAAAAACATCCCTCCCTTCGCATTTGCTCGACAGATCAATTGGGTATGCTAATAAGGGATCGTACGGCCTCGATTCCCCAAATTTACTCAATCTAATTTCCACCGTTTTCAAGCTCGAATCGTAATCGACCCACGATGTCAATTTCCCCCCATTGTTGGGAACAACAATCCCCTTCTCCATCTTCCAAATCCCACCACTCAAATTACTCCCATTCCCAGAAACGAATTCGATTCTGTGAAGCCATTTTTCCGGGGAGATTTCGTCGGGAAAACCCCCACCGGGAAAAAAATGAAAGAACGAGACCATCCCCGTTGTCCGGCGAGACAGCGAAGGTGAACTGGGTATAAAACGACGTGGAACCGTGAAGCTTCAAGGGTTTGTTGTGCAAGAGAAGGCCAAAGCTGGAAGCGACAGGGCGGGTCAGTTTGACGAAAGAATTGCCGCAGTCTCCGTGACCGTCGCCGTCGAGAAGAACGGCGTCTCCGATGAGGGCGATGTGGGGATCGAAATTGGGTTGTTTGGGGAGGGCTCGAGGGTTGAATGGAGAAATGGGGTGGAGAAATGAGAAGAGGAAAACAGAGAAAAGAAATGGAGAAGAGAAATCAACCATTATCGAAGAAGCTGAGCGGCGGAACAGATCTGTGTTTTCTTCTTCCTTCAATTTCTTTTATTTGTGAGATTTTACCACGTGCTCCAAAATTTGACCCTCGGTCCTCTAAACTCCTACAAAAAAACTCACATCAAAATTTCGAATATATATCCAACTTAATCTTATAATTTCAAGAGATTAAAGCAGCATTAACCCTCCAAATCCCTTTAATGATCTGTTCATAATTAACCTAAAACCTCATTATTGTCCCCATCAAGAATTACATCTCTGTAATGAAGCAAAAGAAAGCTGTTTAGTTCGGATTCTCGACCGAAACCATAACTCACCAAGAAACTTACTGATTTAAATACAACAGTTCGTGGCAAGCTGTGTGAATCTCAGGCGGCGGCGACTACACTGCAGGAGAAATCCAAAGAGATGGCATGATCCAAATTCCATGGGAAGTAAAAAAGTGAAAACGCTACGAACTGGGATCAATGCGATCCCTTTGGATGCTTCCTGAAGTTGCAGTTAAATCGGCCATAGATGAAGAAATGGAAGAACAACAAGAACTTCAAGAACCCCTTTCTCTTTCTCTCTCTCTCTCTCTCTCTAACTCTTTGAGAGGAATATGGTTTTATGAGGGAAACGCAGCAATGGTGATATGTATAAAAGATGCTGCAACTTTGACCACATTTCTTTGGGTCAAATTTAATTCAAAATTCTAGAAATATTATAATATTTGGTTATTTAGATTTTTGAAAATGATGGAATATATATAATATTTTAAAAGAATGGGAAGTTAATAGCAATTATAACACACCACATTCTACACATGAAAGGTAGCATTTAATATCACTAGTGGGACATATAAATATTGCATCTTCCCCTTTCCATTTAACAATCTTAGTTGGCTCAACATTCGGATTAGGGTTTGACTCTCGTGTATTCCGACATTTTTCTACCTCCCCTGCCACATAATCATGTTGCTTATTTCTCGCTTTATAAGAGTGAAAACTATCCCCACAGACTAACACTAGTCATTCTAATATACTTTGAAAATTCTTAAGAGGTTCGGAAATTAAATATAAGTTTGTTAATACAGAAACCCAATCAATTAGAATCATTCTCGGGATTAAAACATTTATTAAGGGGATTTGTTATTAAAGTTACTTAAAGCATAAGGAGTCTACTCTCACTAATACAACTAATTCATAATTAGTGAGAAATTATTAATTAAAATAAGAAAAAAAAATCGTCAACAACCAGCACCACGATAGTGTTGAGTAGTGGGAGGGGTTGGATGATGATGTGGTGCAAAATATTGGCGCAAACATGGGCCATCACGCGCCCACATTGCAGCCTTTTTCTGGGTGCTCTCTAGACCCCACCACACTTGATTTTTGCCCTCTCCCTCCTTCTCCATCATGCTCATGCATGCTATTATACTCCATAGTGGGTATCATTAAAAAAAAAAAACATACCACCAAAATTCGTATATATTTCATCATATAATTAAAATCTATATAATATCAAAATTATAATATCATATTCTCATGAGATTTGATATGAAAGTCAAGTTAAATTCATAAAATGTCCCTCACATTGGAACCAAATGGAAGCTCTTCTTAGTCTTTGTAGCCCATCAAGTGTAGCAAAAGAATCTTCTAAATGGTTTCCTATGTTCTCCAATATGTTCGAAGTGGCTATTTTCCCCCACGACATCCAACATATTTGACTTTAAAGTTTTCGAGATCGAATTAGACTTCATCACCCAATTTTGCCTAAAGTGTCTAAAGTGATATTTGAGATGTCTCAAACATGCTACTATATAACAACTTAAGCTCACCACTACACTAGTAGATATTGTCTTCTTTGAGCTTTCTCTTTCGAGTTTATTAGGGAGAGGCTTCTACAATCCACCTCCTATAAGGTGCAGTGTCCTCACTGGCACTGATTCTCCTCTCCAATCGACGTGGGATCTTACGTGTTAGGATAATTCAAGTTTGTTACGTAAGATAGGGAAATGGAATTAAGCTATAAGAATAGGAACCAATATGGTCCTAAGAGTTTAAGTGTTGTGGCTTATAAAGGAAACCAACTACTTTGGTATTGAAGAATTAATTGTGGGTATTTGTCGATGCTATGGCTTTTATGGAGTGAGTAATGGGTTTGGACCACGGCTACCGACACAAGATTCAAATATGAGATGGACAAAAATTAACATCTTTTCTTCTTTCTTACCATAATAAGTTGAACCCTAATTTTTGGGTCATCAAACAATACAAGTAAATTTATATTGCCTTTTCTTTTCGTTTCGCGCTTTCGGTTTCCTTTCCGTTATTGTTGAAATATCTTTCTCGTGATCGTTTATATATGGTAACGTCTAATTTAAATCTCTTTTATCATTTATATACGATCGTTCAAAAATACTTAAAGGAGTTTTAGCTTTTTTCCCGAATCAACGAGAGAACTATTGAGGGTGTAATTGACTAAAAAAAAAGATTATTGGTACCGTTTGTGAGTGATAAATGACAAGGTATTTCACGGGTGTGTGACTTTTCGAGTCCAATCTGAAAAGTAAGTCCATAGAATATGGTTAGTTAACATTTTGAAAAACGAATAGGAGAGACGAGTGATATTTTAAGTATGATTTTTATAATGAGATCCCACATCGGTTGGAGAGGAGAACGAAACATTCCTGGTAAAGGAGTGGAAACTTCTCCTTAAAAGACATGTTTTAAAACCGTAACAGGCCAAAGTGGATAATAGTGGGCTTGAGCTGCTACAAATGGTATCAAAGCCAAAAATGTTGGGCTCCCAAGAGGAGTAGAATGTGAGATCCCAGATAGGTTTGAAAGAGGAATGAAACATTTTGTTAAAATCGTAAAACTGACAACGATACGTAACGGGCTAAAGCGAACAATATTTACTAACAATGAACTTAGGCAGTTATGAATAATATCAAAATCAAACATCGTGCAGTGTGCCAATGAAAATACTGGGCCAAGCATGATAATGGAGATGAGGTAGATGGTGATAAATAGCTTAGGCTTAGTCGGAAAGAGCAAGGAAAGTTAGGCACATTCGGTAATTTTCGCAACTTAGGCACATGGCCTCAATCACGTCCTCTACACTCCCTCTACCCCACATCTTAACTACCCTTATTTTAATTTTTAATATTCGAAATATTCATCGAACCTAATTGTCTACGATCGATCGCATAACTGATTAACAAACAATGTTTATTCGATTAAGTCTATGTTTGGTAGGGCATCTCGACCTTATCAATGAATTTTTTCCGCTATCATATTAGGGCATCTCAACCCTACGAAAATCAACTACGCATACCTATTCCATCATAAAACATGCACGTGGAGGGGCTCCATCTGCCCGTCTTCGAAATGTTATGGTATAACATCGAGACATTACTCAATTATTTTTATTTAAAAAAAAAAGAAAAAAAGAGAATAATATAAGGATGATGAGGCATGTGAAGAGAGGAGCATGAAAGCATATGAAATAATTGTGGTTTCTTTCTATGTTTTTCAATACCTA